TCTTATTTGACAATATTAGCAAACAAATAATAGATGTTGCTCTCATCTTCCGGTTCTGTTTCTTTCTGTTAGGAAAATGCGTGATAAAGGAATATTCAGAGTTTATAAGTTTTGACTTGAACTTTGTAATAATAGTACTAAAATCATGTTAGTATATTAAAATCATGGGGTATCTGGTCTCTCTTCAACCATACTTTGGAGTCGATTGCGTTCATAACTAGTTCGTCATCTACGATCTGAGCCTGGATTTTATTGGGTAGCCAGTGCCTGCTAGGTTAAATCATGTAGAATAATAGTAAACATACCGGAATCGATAATTCATTATGAGCTCTATTGTGTTCAGCCTTTACTGCTAACTTATCATCAGCTATTTCAAATGTGCAGTAGCAGTTACTTAAGTAATATACATTTTAAATATCCTTCTCCTAATAAGACTTCCTGTAAGAAGTACCAACAATCAAATAACGGTGAATTCAGATCATAATAAAATATATCTATGATGTCTTACCGAGGTACTTCTTCAGCGCTATCGCCTTCTTGGGTAACTTTCCGATTATTCCATACCTGTATACAACAATATCAGATACATAGTTGAAACCTAATATGGCATATTCTGTCGTTAAGTATTAAAATTACAGCTACCATGTCCTGATATTTCCAAAAGTGAATGCCTTCTTCATTATCAACTTGGCAATTAATTGCAAGTATATCAGGCAGATTTTTAACTAATCTTGTTTGAGTGCTTGGCTGATATTTCTGACATCGTTCGCACCAAGCAAAAACATTTTGTGTTTTTGACATACTAGATAGTAGGACTGAGCAAAAGGAATGGGTTTTTATTTCATTGGAATTAGCCTGCTTGTCTTTATTGGGTTGCGATGATTTACTTGGATAAGTAAGTGTATAAAGTAATGTAGAAGATGTTCTAATATCTTTATTTTCACAGCCGCATTTGGTAATAATTTCCAATTTACTTTCATACAACTTCAAGAACCACGCTCCATCATTGTCTGTAGCTTCAGACTTGTCATCCTTTTTGTAGGTGTCTCTAGATAGCTGTTGTAATACAAACAGATGCCAACTTTGAATTAGATGTGCTAAATTTGCATTTTTATAAGCTTCTTCGGTGTCCGGCAATATCAAGCCTAATCCAGCGGCTTCAGGTATTGCTCGAAATGCACGAAGAAAGTTATTAGCCTAGAATGGAATCAAATCCTCGTTATGTTACGGTCGATAATTAAGATAATCGCTAAATTCAAGACTAAGAATCAACCTGGCACGGCTGTCCTTTCGAATAATCTAACATTCGGAAAAGAAATCCTAATTCACACGCGAAACAAGGCTCTTTGTCGCATGAATGGTTTTGCAATCCGATACACATGGGCCGTAAGAAGTATAGCACCTGCAATGGAAATTGCAGTGATTAGGTAGTTGCTTTGAACTATATTGATTGGGAATAAAAGTTCGATTGCTGTGTAGAGTGATCATTACCTGCAGCATAGAGTTACAATATGCGTTGGGTATATCAGTCTCCAAACCAGCAAAATTGGTTCGATTGTATGACTCAAAGTTAAAATCTTCTAAGCCTATCCAAATAAAGCAAATCATGCTCAGAGTTATTTCGGAAATAGGAGGTAAAATTTTTACTGTAACGTGAGCATCTTTCAATTCTAGCGTAATTTTTAACTTACCAAGTTTGGAGTACTTCATAGCTACACGATGATAACGCTTTGGTATTTCACCATAATATTCACTTAACGCATCTAATTTATGTAATGACGTAACATTACGAAAGAGATCTATATATACTTATGCCATTGTAACAGGTGTGGATTTTCAAACCTTGCTCCTCATCAGACTCATTATTGTCCATAATATTGTCATCTAATTCATTGGCATTAGTAGCGCGAATTGTGTAGGGCATCTAATAACAAAGAGATTCAATCTTTACATCTTTGCATTATCTGTAACCATAACGTTTAAATTAAAATTAAATTAAACATGCCTGATTGCGTTTGTAATTGACCGGTGCCGGAGCATATCCGATAAAATTATTCATTTTCATGCTTTCTAAAATTTTCGGATCTATGGGTGCTAAGCGCCTTTAAATTATTTTTTAAGTAATTGCTATTAGACAATTTAAGTTGAAATGAAAAACTAACAAGATGAAAGAGATGATAAGTTACATCTTCTAAATAAAATTCAAATCTTGCTTACCAAGTTCACGCACTTTTAACGAAATGAATGATCTAACTAAATTGTCCATGTTAAACTATAAACTATATAACGCTAACCTGTCTTTCACTTCTGTCAATTCATTGGACCAATCAGATAACAGCCTACCGCTACTATATACAGTAATATAAATAATCATTGTTAAAATGCACTTTAGAATTTGGGTAGTTTCAAAGATGTGAACAAAATACAAACTTGTCATAAGTGTAATCCATAGGCACCGTAGACAATCGTACAAAAGGATCGTTAATATCGAGGTATGGCAGCCGATTTTCCTATACATTGTTAATACATTACATGACAACTATAAAATGATTTTTACGACTATAAATGACCAATATAAGATCGTAGCATCTCAAACACAAGTATTGATAGCCACAATATTGATTAGAATTTATTACATCAGCTGCAAATTCAGTTGGTTGTCCAAAATTATTCATCATAGCATCTTCTCGATTAGTCCAGACATGCAGATACCCTTTAACATTTGCATCACATGAAAATATTAACATATACTAGTATAATTTTGCTAAGTTAAAATTTGAAGACTACGATCACAATTAGTCATTACACTTGATACAATGATTTAACATAACGGCATTACTCGTGTAAATTGGTTAAGCCATTGCAAACTTATTATGTCGTTTAATAAGCTGGCCCTACCTTCACTATCGCCGAAAGCAAATACTTGGGCGGATGGCGATACATCAAAAGCAAGTGGGTAGCCAGTAGATTCGATTTGTTGAACAATTAGGCTAGATGGCGTTAGCGGAACTCCTGGTTCACAAATTTGAAATTGGCCAGTCTAAAACAAAGCATATCGAATTATTATTATTATAGTAGGTTAATGATGGCTTTATTACATATAATGACAGTGGCTAAAGAAATTGTTACTTACATGGGAAACCACGGCCAACCGGGAAGTATAGTTTGGCATAAATTTTAACAAAGTAGGATCGAAGTGAACCTAAAAATAATACAAGACTGTTACAGGACAGTATCTTGGACATTCTCGATATGTGCAGTCGCCAACATAAATATCATCGCCATACAGCCTCTATGCTTACTTGTATCGGATTTAGTGCTCTCATTGATCGTAAATCATACATCATCAGAAATCGATCGCAATTTAAATGACTATGTCTAATAATTGAAATTGTTAATTTAGTGTGCATCGTTTTGATTCATAATTAAGTGATAAGACTTTATAATAATGGTAACGTCTATGGTGAACCTTGTTGAAAAGCCGCATGTTACGAGAAAATTATCGCTAACATCAATATCAGAAATAGAACCAGAATGAGCATCAATAGCGTTGATGCACTGAAGCGTTGAAGGATCATGTAATGTCACCTATCACAAATTCACAATTTCAATTATTTCTTGACGGTATTAAATATAGCATACATTACAAGGTTAATTCAATTTTAAGGTAATATAAATCAAGCTGGGTAAAAATTGATGCTACGCGTAGATAGATACCTTTCCGGTAGTAGTTCCACAGCAAACATAACCAGATTTGTTGGAATAACGCAATACGGCATTAGAGCATTCAGTACTAGCCTAAATAATAAAGATGTTTATAATATCATTGTGTGATATCAGTTCCAATTTATGACTTAACTTAAGATACTCTTCATTGTACCTCTACTGAAAAGTATATTTATATCAGACTAAAATGAAAATCAGTGGTACGAAGAGAGGGGTGAATAAATTAACAGATAATTTACTGGTATAAATTTTAAACTACTGAACAAGAGTGATTAAGCAAGTTGAATTCGGAATTAAATTAACATGTATATGTAGAAATTTTATATCAAGATCAGTACAATATTCTGGCTTTACAAGTTACCTGTTTAGTGATTTTAGCTGATCTAAGATCGACTTGTGTTAGCAAGTTATTTTCGCCAGAGATGTAGGTTTTATCATGATTGGGATTGAGACACATACACTGCATATAATACAGCGAGGATTCATCTCTGCAATATCAAGAAATCATGTATTAATAAGGAAGAAACTAATACCATAGATAGGCTGCTTTTGCAAGATTATAATTTGCCCTGGCTCAACCAGATTTAATTTGCAACAAATCTTTTATTGGCATTTAGGAAATGCGCGTTAACCAATTAAGTTTGTATTCTTGCTATGACTACGATAAAACATTGGCGTGATGGAAAAAATGAAGAGGTTTCTATTAAAGGGAGAAATTCTTGCTTACCTGATGGTAAAATCAATAGAGCCACCCCTATTGACTAATTTCAGTTCTTCACCTGATAATGATAGGATACCACGATTTATAGAGAGCAGTTGCTTGATAAATGAATTTTGTATATAGCGAGATGAATATCGGAGCAACTGTAAGGAATGATAGGATCCTACAAATCCCTACAATTATATTGAAGAAATAACATACCATGGTGTAAATAATTAATATCAGAATGGATAAGATATGTCGGCAGAGTAGATGGCAGCTTGGAATAGAATGATTTCTGTTGTTTAGTCTACCAGCATGTTTCAACAGTAGACCGTATCAAATGATCTTTATTATTGTACTGTAGTTATATTTATTCTCTCGACAAAGATGCCTAAAGTCAATTTTAGCTAGTAGGTTATACTGTATCTTATCAGCAGATGGTTAGCGGCTTGTTATACCGTAGGAGTAGTACACGGTTAGAGAAATGATATAATCCATAAGACTATGACTAGCAGAAGATAAACTGCTGTGGCCATATACTGTATATTATCATGCGATATCATTGACTCTAGCTACAATTAATTATTATAGCAACAAAGTTGAAGCAAATGCAAGACTAGTCACGAAAGATTCATCCTTTGGATAGATCTTGTTTACTGTCGTATCAATGAGCGTATCTAGTACTCTTTTCTACTAGAAATGAATCTTGTTATTTCATCTTTCAGCAATTCTGTTCCCTTAGCTAGGTATTGTAAGCAAGAAGTAAAGAAAGTATCGCCATCCTGAATATAACCATCTACAGTAGTTGATCAATCAATAATATGAATTACAGTATAAACATTGTTCAAGGCAGGCGTGTGGTGGGAAGATTGATCAACACGCCAATTTGTACTGTTGATTGCTATTGAAAGATGTCATATCCATTCTTTTCATTTGGTTATGATCAAGTTATGGATGAAATTATAAAAGAGATCATGACTACCATCAAGAAAGTATTGGAAGACTGAATAACTAGGACGAAAGATGGATCGATGGATTACTCATTAACCATTGCTCACCGATGCATTCGCTGCCCATAATAATTCTTCGCTTGCATCGAAGCAAACAGCACTGGTGCTAAATTTATCGGCTTCCACTGTAGGGATCGTGCTTAAATACTCAAAACCAGCCATCTAGCTTGGTTAATCTTTCTTCCTGGTTGCCAGCTTGTACTTAATATCGCATTCTATTGGCGATGATGAAGAATATCCACCATGCACTTTTAACCGATTAATGACGTTAGTTGAATGATGGCAGAGCAAAACAACGTCCAACGAGCTGCATCCCTTTGTCGTCAGAAGGACGACCGGACATCCATCGTCCGTCTTGTTGATAGAGCACTCTACGGTACGGTGGTACAGACTGCAGAGTGTACACTGTAGACTGTAGACTGTAGCATGGCAGAAGTTTTCTTGCATGGCCAGTGGGAATGAAGAGGTCGAAGAAAGTTGGAGAAAGAGAGAGGGAGGTGGAAATAAACCTTCTATCTTACATCTCTAGGAAGAGAAGAGACAACGTGCAATACTTTAAACTTAAACTATACCGTTAAGAGGCATTTTTGAATGAGCGTTTGGAAGGCGTAACATCTTGAAAGATTCCCCTTTCTATCGTGTATCGTACTTTGGAAAAATGTCCATAGTCAAAGTACTGTTGCAAACACTTCTCTTTCTTATTACGCCAGTATGGACAAATTGGCCATGGTCGATTCTGGCGTCACAACACTTCTCCTACAACAAATATGGCATGAAAATGGCGTTGGCATACTAGTACTCCTGATTGAGAAAACAGCGATAGTAGTCCAATGACTAAAGGACTCTTGTTCAACCCTATAAGCCTTCGTCAATAGCGACATTAATGGCGATAGAACATACAAATTACCATATCAAGGGGGCAGGAAAATGACGTCCGCCTGTGCTAGTTGGTGCCGATCATTTTGACAACAAAAACTGCTCGATTGGCAGTGGACCTACGAGTGCGACGTCATCGGATGCATTGGATATTCCACTTTTTGCATCAATTTGTACAAAATGGATCGCAAGTGGATAGTTTTAATAGGTACAGATAGCTCTTGACTTATCTGGTATACGAAGGTTCATCACGATTGGACTTCTTGAAGTGTTTTACGATTCAAATACATGAAAGAAAACGGATCCCATGAGTCTTAGCCGTACAGACGGTCATAAGAGAGACTACTAAAAACGGATCAAGATCCACGCGTCTCGTAATCGTCTTAGCGATTTCGAGATACTAAATCAACACAATATTTCCTTTCGAGCAGGCTTTCATGATGCCCTACTTGCCTAAGCAAATGGGCCAAGTTTGAACGAAATGAAGAGTCGCAACTCCCTACTCTTCGGAGTCAGAAGAATAGGGAGTTGCGAAAAACCTCCATTGATTTTGCTAAGAATTGGCACATCAATTTGGATAAATACCTGCAAGATATAGTGTATAAACATAGACATTTCAGCGGGATTTCACGAAAGGTCTAGCAGTCCTTCGGACTGGACCGTACAGCATGCGCTAGAAATAAGGTCACCCAAGTGGATCATAATGACTTTAAGATCGTAAAGCATTAAGTACGGCGACATGGATATATCAACCGCTGTTGCCTTGCAACGAATAATCAGATTAAGAATAAATAGAGAAACTGTAACTAGCATGAATAATGTATGCTGTCAAGTGCTAGTGCCATTTGCGATTATTGCTTTATGTTGTGATAATACGATGTAATCCTTCTGTTGAAGAGATTTAATCTGAAATGGGATAGAGAGACTGGATTGATCAACTATGACTGGAATTGCTTCAAATACTTTCGCTAACTCAGTAGTTTCATCATACAGAGACTATAGTGATGCAATGTTAAAGTTCTTCACCGCGTTATAAGGGCCTATTTTATTCTTTTATTTCCAAATTCATTACCCTACACTATATACAACATTGCTGTTTGCGATATTAAAATCTCCAGAACATGATCTTACTGCTTACAAAATTTGGAAATAAAGTTTGGACGCATCTTTCATACAGAACTAAATAAGATGTGTCCAGACTTTCCGGGCACCCTCAGTAACATTTAGAGTGTACGCTATCGAACCCATACTCCCGTTTAAGTCTGATGATTTGCCCATTTTAAGATTGGATACGATTGCACTACATAGAAGCTGGTTAAATGGGTGGTAGTTGATCATCAGTCGTTAATGCACTCTGGTGTCATTTTTTGCCGCCAGTAAATATATTTATCATTTCAATGCTTTGCAAGAATAAGGAAATGGCGACCATCCATATACCAAGCATACAATGCACATTCAGTAAATGAGGTGTTGTAAGCTCGGTGAGATCGGCTAATTCAGCAGATAGATCTATGTTAGCCATGGTAGGTTAAGACTCAACTTAAGAGTATCGATGTGCGAAAAAAATAGAGAAGGATAACAGCAGAATGGATATATTTAGAAAAGGTTTTATTCAAACAGGATCATGTATATTACAAAGCCTGACCAACGTGTAAGAGTTGGAAGCAGAAAAGTAAATAATGTCCGTATAACGACTAATTATTTATACCAATGAAATAGCGCTATAATTACAAAAACAACTTATATCGTCCTATAGTACTATAACATTTTATCTACTATACAATGAGTCAAAGAAAAATATTTCGACGATATCGTATCCCATTATCCTTGTTTTCACGTATCGCTAGCCATATAGTGCAGCAAGTAATGTAGGGGATATAAATGATTTGATGATGTTACACTTTTATATATTGAAAGCATGCATGGGCCAGCAAGTACTTCGATTTGAAGACCTAATTATAGTATTTGCTGATTGCTCAGGGTACTCCGACTAAAGTTTTAGACACACTTACGATTTTAATTCTTTATTCAGTTGTTATAGCTAACTGTACGGGAAATCGCATATAATTACAGCTTTGCGTTGTGTGATCAGCTTCTAACTAACCGAGACGGTAACAACCGCAGTTTGAGCTAAAATAGCTAGCGGTAAAGTAGAATATACACATGGATAGAAGAAGTTGTCTGTAGGATCAAACGTAGACTAGTATTAATTGCATTACTACAGAAACAATGATTAAAAGATTAAATTTTGCTTTATGTCAAGTTGCCTAGAAGTTTTGCTGAATTAACGAGAATAAAGATTACGTAATTTATATGATCTCCTTGTGTCAAAGCCGGAGTCGTGACACACCCTTAACTAATTCTGTTTAGCAGCACTATGGAAGCTCACGACCAAGTATTACAATGCGATCATAAAATTGGATTAACATTTTAAATCCTCGAGCGTTCATAACTTTGATAGCTCATACGAGAATAATCTTTTGGATCTTTGGCTATTGATCGTCAAATGAATAAAAATACTCAATTGGGCTAAAGTTATGAGCACTATTTGTTCATAAGGTTAGGGGGAATAGGACTAGTAATGCATAAAATATCATCGTATGAAAGCCGTTTCTTATGGATATTGCGTCATTGGCAATAGAAACTAGTTCAGGCCTTGTCAGGATTAGCCTGAAACATTTGATCTTCAGAATATTGTGCAGAAGCTATTTAATATTAATGGGATACGAATAAAAGTAGAGAGAGCGTAATTAAAGCTTATGAGGAATAAGCAAGCTACCCAAAAACTGAGCAAACAATGCATCTTAATGTGTTCATATCATATTTTGCTTACAAGAGATCATATGATATTATGGCTGCTGTTAGAAAGTTTAGGAAATGCGTGAACAAATGCATATTCGAAAAACAACCTTTTCTACCTGGAATACTAACAGCCTTATCCTACCATTTCAAGGAAATATAGCAGTCACGATCATGAAACTAGGCCTACCTAACATGACTAGAACCTCAATCACGTATATTATTTATACGTTATGTTATACATACATACATACTTAGAGGTACAAACAATCATTAAATTCTATTTTGAGTTGCAAATTGGCTGTGTCGTATCTAAATTATTTAAGTAAACAACGAAAATACTTGAAAAGTTCCAACGTATGAAGAGACTTTGCGAGAAAAATTAACTATACTTAGTTGTTATATATGTACATAATCAAGGATTGCTTGACAAATTAAATTATCATATCATTCATACAATTTGTTTTTGAATCCCTTCTTTCTCGCTAGAACTAATAATACTGGGCTTTATGCAATGGGATAATGGCACTGTATGATGCTGAATTAACACTTATTGAAACTTGCAATGAATAATGTTGTCGAATAAAATGAATGCCAGTACAGTGTCTTACATTGTTTACGTCGTTCCGTGTTAGTTCCTATGGAAATTAATCTTATTTCAGTGCTTAACTACATCTTATTGAGCCTATCAATAAATCGCGTTATCCAATTAAATGAATGTGAGCATGGCGTCTAACATTTTTTACGTCATTTCAAGTTAGTCCCGAGAGAATTAATCCTATTTCAGAGCTCAATTAAATCTTACTGGAAACATAAATAAATCATGTTGTTGGATGGCGTGATTGCCGGCACAGTGTCTTACATTATTTACGTAGTTCCAGACTATTCCCCAAGGAGATTAATCCTGTTTCCGTCTTGATTATTAATTTGGCAAGAATATAGCCACAAATAAAAGACAAAGTAATTCTGAACATTATAGCTCTACATCCACTAGTTTTATTGTTTCTGAAAAGTAATTAACGTATAAAAGCCTTCACAACTTATTTTCACTCTTACATCAAGTTTTTTTCGCCAGGTAAGACTAATGGGCAAAAAATCGATCACTTTCTGAAAACTCCACTCTTATACTTTAAGCTGTATTTTTTTAATATTGGCATCATCATTATCCGTAACTTAAGGTTCTATCTTTCTTAGCAGCAGGGCTAAACTCTAACCATATTATTTGCTTACGAATACAACTTTATTTTACGTAAACTTATTTAGCGTTCTTTATTTTATCCTAACAGAACGAACCTTCAAAATCAAAATGAGGTCAATTATTCTTATTTGCTTGTTATTCCTTTTCGCTGCAAAAGTGAATTCTGAATCGTTTGATTCAGATGACAAAAGAGATCTATTCTCAGATGAACACCAACGAAACAATGATGAAAACGTTGTAGAAGATGGTGCTTCCATAAGCAGACAGTTTGCCTCAGAAAACGACGAAGACAACAATGAGGATCAGGTATATTCATAATCAATAAAATTAATATCGTCTTGAAGGAAATTTACTTCTCCGGACAGACATTATATCACTAGAATAAGGTGAAGACCATGGAGTGAACGCCTATATCGAAATTTCTTAATTAGACTGTACGATGTTTAATTTACGGCATAACTAGATATGATTTAAATACATTATTGATAGTCAAATAAGATGACAAGATAGCTAGTCAATTCTATTGATTGGCCAGTACATATTCGCAATGTAAAGCAATAACTATCGAGATCTAATGAAAATGTCTTCATCATTATTAGCAAGTCTTACAAAACAGCTTTGCAACAAGATTTGCAACAAGATAACATAATGCGCAATCAATCAGTCAATTCCCTGAACCACGTATCAGGGAGCAATATCTACTCATTCAGGAATACTCTTCCTATACCAGTAGACTACAGAAAGACTTAGACGCCTCGTATCTTACGTTAAGCACTAATCATAATAACTAACTTTACTTTACGATTTATCGCATTTATATACTCTGTTACAATAGCAAAGACATCTTAGTTAGTAATGTTGGCGTTGAAACTTGATAATGAATCAAAAGCTAATTTTATCTACTGCTACCTAATGAAGACAACAGTATTTACGAACATAGACCTCAAATGACTAATAAAAAGTTATCAGATTACAATATGTTCTATTACGGAACATTTCTACGATAATCTACTATCTACCATAAGTAAATTACTATTACAGTGATTTGAATTTATAAGAAGATTATTCTCGATTCCCTAATCAAATTACTAGTTTCAGTAGGCTGTATATATCACCATAAAAACTATTGCTATATTTAAATATCACATATCTAAACTAGAAACCCTTCATAAAAGGGTAAATCAACAAAAGTATCCTAACATAGATGTTTCTACTATAATCTCGATATTACAGTGTATAACACTGTAACAGTGTCACAAACCAGCTTCGTGACAAGGATTACGTAAAATAAATCTCTAAATTACTATGGTCTTCCAGAATTCAGTATCCCTTAACTACCTCATAAGAATTTAGACGCCTTTGATTCTACGTTAAAACAACTATACAATTGAGAACTGCTTTATTCAACTATCTCACGGGTTTATATACCCTTCTACAGTAGCTAACATTCACAAGTCATCTTATAAAAATACTTGGGTGAGAACATCTACTAACTAGTTTTTCACAGTCGGACTACAATATGCCCATTCACAGAATCATTTCAGTACACATTACAGTACAGCAATAAATTTACTGTAACACATTTATAATTAGGGTAATTCCTATTGTAAGTGACTAGTTGTAATATAATATCACTACATTATATTAACCAAATTTAGATATCTATTTCTTCACGGTAGTTCGTACCGTGACAAACAGTAAGTGACTAAAGTAGATAGAGAAGGATATACATTGGCGGATTGCATTTTATCAGATTATGAATTAAGGTATGCCACTGTCACAAGCTAGCTGTGAATGCAACGCGCGATCGTACTCTAGAGCTCTAGCTAACCTATGGACTAGTCTAATGTAATACTGAATACCGTAGTTTAACCTTAACGACAACCTAAGTAGCACGTCTTAGCTGGTTTATGTTATAATAAAACTTTATTAACACAGTAAAGACCTTGACAACCAAGACTAACATAGACTCGAGTCAGTGACACTAGATCAGATCGGAAGAACAATCACTGCTAACTGACTATTCAGAACCCCTGAGCATATAGAGAACAGCGGCTCCTTCTATACTCTCATTCTAGTATCCTAGTACATACTAGATGAACTTTAGCATAGAATCAATATACTATAGTATAAGCGATGCCTATATTTTAGGCTGCTGCATACGAATTTAAAATTCGTAAGACAATAACTTATAAAGGTGTTGTTAGCAAACTAAACAAATTTGCCTAATAAACGCTCTAATTGCTTGAAAAATTGCGATTTCATCATGTTCCTTCATAAAGTGTATTTGGTACTACAGTATAGTATAGTAAATAAAGGCATCTAATAGCAAATATCATTGTTGAACGCTTAGCTTGCAATTCAGCGCAAAAGAAACAGCATAAATTAGTCATTAATTTGCGATATTTAATTCATATTAGATGACAGAATTATTTACTACAATATTGAGATTTAGGTGATTTTCGTGTTTGAATAGAAAGCTTAATACTACTTTGAAAGCCTGGTAGGCAAAAATATACTCTCATGAGCATGTTGATACTACAGTGTTTAAATGCTTTTTGCGACAGATTTATAAAGACAAATAGCACTACGCGTGATTTCTTTATGAAATTCGGCAGATTATGCGTAGTAGAAATACTGTTATACGTAGGTATGTCAAAATTAAACCCAACTGTCATATTTAAAATTTTTAATATAGCCCTTAAAAGACATCTAATAAATCGACGATCATCATTATTTTTATATGAGTGTATCTGCGATACCATGGACATAAGATATTGGTAAAAGAAAATATACATATTTGGTTAAATTTCTACTTATCGGCAAAAATTTATGTTTATTTAATTATCCTAAAATTAAATAATATGCACACGCAATTATATTACAAGATATAGTGCCTATAGATAATGATACTGCGTACCTTTAGATTAACATGAAAAACAAATTAATATGTATGGCTATTCACGAGTATCGTATACTATAGTGAATTTTACAGCAATAAGAATAAGTTTTATTTCATTAATATTGTTATATTTGATATATACTTTAATCTATTATTGCATAATAATTTGCAATATTACAATTCCGAAAAGATGATACTAAAAATAACTAATCAATTATAAAAAACTCTTCACTTTAGATACCTCCTTTGGGAAAATCTTTCGAACTTCCTGTAAGTAAATAGATAGCGCTACTATAATTATAGACAATGTGTCTGCACTACTATGGGCATAGCTATGTCATCTGCACTACTATGTGTAACAACTATTCTCAAAATTATTATTAATAAATTACTTATTATAAAATTTCTTGACTTTAGGAACACAGACGCGGAAAGTCTTTCGAATTTCCTGTAAGTCTATAGATATCGATACTATAGCCTGCAATAATACTATTCTTAAAGGCAATACTATTAAACAGCTCCTTATAAAACTTCTTGACTTTAGGAACACAGACGCGGAAAGTCTTTCGAATTTCCTGTAAGTCTATAGATATCGATACTATAGTCTGCAATGATACTATTTTAAAGGCAATACTATTAAACGGCTCCTTATAAAACTTCTTGACTTTAGGAACGCAGACGCGGAAAGTCTTTCGAACTTCCTGTAAGTCTATAGATATCGATACTATAGTCTGCAATGATACTATTTTAAAGGCAATACTATTAAACGGCTCCTTATAAAACTTCTTGACTTTAGGAACGCAGACGCGGAAAGTCTTTCGAACTTCCTGTAAGTCTATAGATATCGATACTATAGTCTGCAATGATACTATTTTAAAGGCAATACTATTAAACAGCTCCTTATAAAACTTCTTGACTTTAGGAACGCAGACGCGGAAAGTCTTTCGAACTTCCTGTAAGTCTATAGATATCGATACTATAGTCTGCAATGATACTATTTTAAAGGCAATACTATTAAACGGCTCCTTATAAAACTTCTTGACTTTAGGAACGCAGACGCGGAAAGTCTTTCGAACTTCCTGTAAGTCTATAGATATCGATACTATAGCCTGCAATAATACTATTCTTAAAGGCAATACTATTAAATGACTTCTTATAAAATTTCTTGACTTTAGGAACGCAGACGCGGAAAGTCTTTCGAATTTCCTGTACGTCTATAGATATCGATACTATAGCCTGCAATAATACTATTTTAAAGGCAATACTATTAAACGGCTCCATATAAAATTTCTTGACTTTAGGAACACAGACGCGGAAAGTCTTTCGAATTTCCAGTACGTTAGTAGATATCGAAATATTGATCTGCGATAGTACTATTGTCAAAGCGATATTAGTTTATCAAAAATTATAAAAATTTTTGCAATATGAACAATTTTTTGTAAATATTTCTATCGATACAATTATGGAATTTGTGTAGTTTTACTGTTGGCCATTAAATCCCTACAAAATCAAGTGATTGATATCCGCATTCTCAAATAATATTAGTGCAATACTAATTGTGATAAATTTCTATGTTTCAGGAACGCAGACGCTGGAAATAATTAAATTAGGTTAAATCTTCCGTATGTTACATAGGTAAGAATTTTGTATTAATTAGCTAGCGTAGAATATAAACCGATATTCTTACAAATTTATTTACCAACTCCAAACATTTATAAATATCACACGAGTAATATCATCTGTGGAATATCATTACAGCAGACATATTTTAGATAAAGATTTCAAAATATTTGACAGTAATATTCTAACAATCCGAGCATTAAACCGCAAATATTATGATGTTTTATATTTCTACGACACCTCAGACTTATTTGTGAGAATTTTCTATAAACCATTGCGGTGTCAGGAATCGACGTAAATTAATTCCGATGAATAACAATTATATCTAATTATCTATCCAAATAGCAATTATCATAAATCAACACTATTTAATTGCGATAAGTAACAACTATATCTGCTCGTCTATTCAACTACTACAGCTGCCCATTATTAATCGTTATACAATACAGTTCAACAACACATACAACATTCTGCTTCATATTCGCGCACTTAGTCGATTTTTGATAGTAGACTGTTATCCTAAATGCATTAGAAATGCCGGATAGCCATATTTGAAAACAAATCTAATGACTCACTAATAATGATAACTTCTTTACAAAAGGAAGGCCGAAGATGTAGCGCTAAGGAAAAAAAGAACTTTGATCTAATCTTCAATAATTTGAATAGTGTAGTATTAAGTCATTGTTAGTAAATATTAAACCACTCAACCATCTTAAACTTTAATTAACGATACTGATCATATCTCAACGTGGGTGTGTAGCTTAGAAGTTTAAATTATGCTCCTCTAATTTGTACTGTAGTTTGAGTCCTTTACTAATTTTTTCTAATTAACGATAGCTAAATGTATTGTTCCAATTTGGTAATTTGTTTCGTGATGTATTAGCAAGGCGTGAAGGAGAAATAAAACAATAATATCATACAAGCTAGAAATCGATGTGAATAAAAATATCTATCTATTTTTCATTAAATAGCTAAGTTTAATACAAACATCATTAACTAAATCACTGTAGAATTACTTAGAAATTGCTAAAGCAAGTTTATAAATTATCAAGTAATCAAGCTGGATTAATTTAGCACTGAAGAAATATGGATCTCATGGTATGTTTAAATTTTATTCAGAGACATATCAAAGACAACCAATTTCGTGGCAAAAATAGCCTTCTATTCTTAGATCAGTTACCATGTCATATCAATCTATAGTAAAACAGAAGCTATGGACGGCTATATTTCAGTAGAATCTAGAAATGCAAAACCAAGTAATAGAATAAGTAGAAAGAATAAAGAAAATATATATTATAGGCCATAACAATATAGCGGAAAGTATCTGAAAAATCGATTTGTAACGAACAACTGACGACAGAATAATTTAAATCAGTTCTAACGATGAAATCAAAATTTTGAAGTGAATATAATCGTATCACAGTATCAAGGCTGCAGTTATTACGAGTAATCGTCAGCTCTCGATATAATAAAAATTTTATTTAGTAGATCTTAAGTTAACATCAATAGTATTTATGTGAGATCTTTCGAGTATCAATCAGTAAATGCCAATATTGATACCATTAACTGATAATAGAAAAGATGCCTTAGCCTTATCAAATACGTACAGGTAATACACGAAATTTGTTTAAAATAGCTAATCTCAAAGCTAGTAATAGCTATGTTTTGGTAGCTATTGTCTTGTTTGCCTTTAGATAACTTAATTTACGATATTCAAGGGGGAAAATTAGCCCTTATTTTATCGATTTCTCTTGTTTTCACTTCCATTAGGGTTGGTTATAGGCAAGTTTAATTACGAGATAAGTGCAAGGACTAATTTGATAATATACCCGTTTGAGAACGAAGTTCAGTAAATTTATGAAATAGTCGGTTTGCAAAATGCCCAGTCAATTCATGAAATACTTATTCAGTTCGCGAAAATGCGTACTTAATGACAAAGTTAGCTTTATATACTTGCCCATACTATAATAATTATTAACAAGTAAATCAGAGAATTGTTTTTCTTCATTGACTGCCAATTTATTGCAATAATCTAAACGATCAAAAAATATACGAGCGTTATGACCGCTAAATCAGTGCAAGAATATTGCCAAGTAAATCAGAAAATGTATACTTTTTTTTGATTAAATAATAATAACTGAGTGCCAAATTAATGCAGTAATTCGAATAATCAATAAATATGTAACTTTACAATTATTGAATTGAGAATGTTCTAATTATAAAACTAATAATTGATTTTTACAAATTCTCTGATTAATATGACATTCACTGTTACAATTAACATTAGCCATAAAGCATTTGCATCAGTTAGTAAAACAAGATGTATGATAGTAGTAAATTAACATGAAGTATCGTGATTGGAATAAACAACTTACTGAATCATATAGCTGGCCATATATGGAAACATGAATAAATAAAGGAACACTAAATCGGATAAATATTTTTCTTTGACTCATTGTATAGTAGCTAAAATTTTATAGTAATACAGTACGATATAGATTGTTTTTGAAATCATAGTTATATTTCATTGGTATAAATACTTAGTCGTTGTGCCAAGATTACTTACTTCTCTACTTTTTAACATGCAGAATCACCTCTTGCATAAAAGTTCTTCTAAACTGTCACACATCACTAGTGATAAAGTAAGTCTAAACACGCCAAACCTGACGAAGAACGCCTCTCACTGACTTAAAGAGGCGAGATTAGCTTTATCACCAAATAGATCAATTCCAACGACCAAATGCCATAGTATAATTATAGTGTCACTGATAGTGTAGACGAGGCAGTCAGATAATGACTACTGTTTATTACTCAAGAAATCATGATAACCAAGATTATAGTCTAGATAGTTCGATAGCAATTGACAAACTAGTTGACTAACTAACTAAAAATTATTATCTGTTTTTTCGCACATCAATACTCTTAATCTGCCTTGGCTAACGTAGGTCTATCTACGGAATTAGCCAATCTCAATGGACCTACAATACCTCATATATGTACATTGTATGCTTGATGTGTGGCTAAAAAAAGCCTCAAGTCCGCATAATTATTTTAGAATTTAACACGCGTTTTGATTGCAACTAATATGTGTTTAATCTAGTGAACATCTTTTAGTCTAAAGAAATTTTAAAATCAATAGTCAGGTTGACTTACCTTATAGCTATATCTTAAGCAGACATTGCTTAAGCTTTTCGTCATCTATAAGGAGTGACAAAATATCCATTTTGTCATGATGGAGATTTAGATTGGATATTTCTTTAACAGCTTGCAATGAAAACGGTATTACACGATAACAAGCATATCAATCTTGATTCAAAATTTGCTTCTATTTCTTGTATCGTAGTATATAACGTATGCGAAATTCTACAACCATCTACCGATTTCAAAAGACTTAACCAGACCTATAATAAAGCTGCTGATTTCTTTGCACTGAAACTGTAGTAGAAAGTAGTAAGTTGACATTATAATCATACTGAATTTTTTGTATAACTGTGATAGTAGCAAATTACTATGACCGTTGATGAGCCTGAAATTTCAACGCGCAGTTTAAAATTTCTAAATATTCTATTTTATTGGTCTTTAGCTTGACTACGTAACAAATATAAAAATAAATAAATCAATTTTCTATCAATCATTTTAGAAATGGCAAAATGGAATAAATATCAAGCTTAATCGTTGCTGTCATTTCGGTACGTTTATCATTTTTAGTCAAAAAGTTTTGTATCTACAAGCTGGGATTACGACTCTAACGCGCCAAAAAACGGAGTCTACTCCACATTTGCTGGGTTAACAGAACAAATAGAAAAAATTTGCATTCCTAGAAATACTTCTAGTACTATTATGAAATTGAAATCCTACTCAAGCGAAAGCGTAGGTACTTTCTCTGTTTCCAGGACTTACCGCAAGCTACCGTGCTCTTATAGTTTTAAATTTCTGCCCATTCTGAAACTAGTTCCTAATTCTAAGCTAGGTGGGATAAAGGTATTTACGCCTGATTATCCTTGCTTTAACTGTCTTGTTCTATAAAATAGATCATATTTCAAGTCTATATATAATTCAAATATGAAAATCCTATCAAGGATAGAAAAACTGTACAATTTGATAGTGTATTATGATATTGAAATTTCAATTATTCATGCAAGCTCTATCTAATGATCATATTACAATCATGACAAGTAAAGCATAAACCTGCTTCGACTGCTTAAGATTACCAAGTCTATCTAGCCGACTGAAGTAACTCGTGGTTAAAACTAAATTTCTTAATATATATATTATCCAGCAGACGTAATATGACTTAAATTAAAGTAATATAACAATGAACCGTGATTACTTTAAATTACGCCCAACGTTGATGCGCAGAATTCTTGCCCTATTTGCAATGGCCATTATAATGATGTAATTTTGAGTGATTGTAGCATCGAATCTCGCCATTTTATAAAGTAACGGAAACATAGATACTTTGATGGTATTGACAGATAGTCATGAGTCAACTCAACAAAAGATTTATTTATTTACTTCCATTTTAGTAGCAGAAAAATCAACATTGTGATTTGACCTGTGCCTAACAAGCCATAGGGAGCAGATGATGTTAATTTACGGGTTGGTTTTAAGATTATCAATGTGTTTCACTGATTTCGTTGATAGAATTAAAATAGTAGTCGAAATTCTTTGACTTACGTTTTACAGATAATAATTAGCCAAATCAATGAAAGATTTATTCATTCAGATCCTTTTAGGGAGAAGAAAATTCAGTATCGTGATTTAGCTTTGTGTCTACGAAAACCATGGGGAGAAGAAATGTTGATTTACAGATTGGCTTAACATTATCGGTGTATTAGGCTGATTTGGCTGATAGTATCAAAGTAGAAACATCGCTACAGCTAAATAAATAAACAAATACGGATAGCAAATGATCACTCGATGCAGTTAGTCATACACCTAGATAACTTCTGCCTCGTTTATTGTTACCAAGACATCGAATTTTTGATGTAACGGAGAGATTTTAGTATAGCGTCTACGTGATTCAATGTAATACGAATCGATGGTATCTCGTGATTGATAAGGTAGAAATGGATGATGTAAATGTTGCCCTTCAAAAACTATTCTTGACGACAAAATGTCATTCTTGAAAATAAATAAATGAATGATCACTAATTCTGCTTGATGTCTTCTTAGCAAATAGCTGAAGTTATGTTAATCTATCGCTAATACTTAATAACTAGCTCAGATATACGCATGCAACATCTTTAGCTAAATCCTGAAACAGGAGAGAAAATTTTAAATTGAAATGGCTTATCACCATATCTTTATATCGGTTGATATTTTTAAGTGATTATATCTCGAATTTTAAAGCAACTATTCCGTATCTGTGTGTCTAGGTGATATGGAAGAAAATTCATTTCCTCAAAGTTTTACCGCACCAAACTATAAACTATTCCTTTGCCTTTAGTATCAGTAACGTCTTTAAACATCTTTTCATGATTTTACTCGTATTTTTTTGCCTTGCTATCAACAGAATAAATATTCATTTCTGCAAACTACATCAAGCAGAGTGGAATACTATCGTATGATCATACGATTGATCAATTATTAAATAAACATCTACGGTCAATTATGACGTTATAAAGACGTTATGACGTCGTTATAAACTATAATGTTAATATGGTAGTCACTGGATGGAACTGTATCAGGTTTATAAGTATGTTATGGTGGAATTACTTGTATTAATCATCTATTACTCCCATTCTACGTATGTCATACATTACTGCAATAACAAATGTTAACATACCGAAACGAATTCTAGTTATTCTAAAGTAATCATACAATAAAAGGAAATTTTATTTCTGCCCGGATTAAGAGCCTGAATTAAAATGATTGTTTTCTTCTTGGTAGAGGATTGATCTTAATGAGGCCATACTATCGTCACTGCGAAAATGACTCAATGCTATCAGTAAGTAACTGGATCAAAACTGTAGTAGATTGCAGATCTACTCTCGTTAAGAAGTTGAAATGAACTTTATCCGGGAAATACGCTATCATGACAGGGTGTCCAATCATTTAAACGACCGTCATGAGTCCGAAAAGGATAGCAAAGGTTGATAATTAATTTGCACTGAAAGACACTCTCAAATTGTGTCTTATGAATTAATGTAGTTAAGATATATAAAATGAACTTTACACCTTGGATGTTGACGAACGGTAGGTACATATAAGAGCCCGGTGGTCATTGACATTAATCGATAGGAATGCTCCCAAACTAAAGACCACCATTAGTAGAATAGAAAAGCTGCGGTCAACAATTGATCCTATAGCTATCACACTATGATTTTATTAATATATCATAATCGGATATTGGAACATGGTCATCCGATTTTCTGAGCAGGAAATGTTACCTTTCATGTACGAGTATAGCAGGTTTACATTCAACTTTACACTAAGTCAGTGGACCCTAATTGTAATCTTCTTCGTAAGATAAAACTATAAACTCTTGGGCTTTTAGTTTTACTGCCATAAATAGCGTGAATTGTAAGTTCACCCTATATGACAAAGTTAGTAAACCCCAATTTTAATCCTCACCTCCGTAAGATCAAACTATCAACTCAGACTTCAGACTTGCTACGATCATAAGTTCAGCATTTCATGCTTACCAGTAGTTAGAAGACCATAATTCTAATCCTCGCCTCCGTAAGATAAAACTATAAACTCTTTGACTTCAAACTTGCTACCATGATAAGTTCAGCCTTTAGCGCTAAGTCAGAGGACCTTAATTTTAATCTTTGCGTCCGTAAGATAAAACTATAAACACTTCGACTTCAATCTTACTACCATTATAACTTCATCACTTAGGGCTAAATTAATGGACCCTAATTTTAATCCTCGCCTCTATACGATAAAACTATAAACTCTTTGATTTCAGTATAAGTGCCATCACAACTTCACCCCTAAGCCTTCAGTTAAACCTAATTTTAAGCCTCGCTTTCGTCAGCTAAAATTATAAACCCTTGGACTTTAGCAGTACAGCCGTTACAAGTTCATCATTCAGCAAATAAAATAAATACTACAGTAAGGCTTCAAAAGATAAAAATAATTGCAGACGATAGAATATAAAATTCCTTTTATCCATGGAAGGTGTTACTAACTAAACAAGCGATTAAAAGGAGTTGTGGCAACAAGAACGCGTGCCACATCACCCTATCCTAATACTATACGTTGCATGGCCAACCCTTTTCTTCGACACCAAATGATCCCTTCCATTTGAATACAGTACAGTAAATCGAATGATTTAAATTTCTGTGCACAATGTTTCTGTTTACCTTGAGTAATAGAGATATGACAATCACGAATAATCAACGACCGTTGCCATATCCAGTTCAAAGATATTACCCTTACTCGCAACCAAGCAGGGAAATGTTGCTGTCATGACTGTATAAGCTGTTAGATTGAATTGGAGAAGTATAATTATTGATCCAATTCTGCATCCACGTCGTTTAAGGGATAATAGAATACAAAAGAAGAATCTATTTTCTATTCATCCATATTAATGGCCTCCTATCTTGACGTGAAGAACCAATCGAATGTTATTGATGTTTTCTCGTCTTGTTTTCATTAACGCAGTTGCTGAGCTCTATGTTTAATTACGCAACCTCAGATTGGACTTTGATATTGTATTTAAAATATACAGTCGTTAAATTATTGTCTTCAATCAAGTGTGGGAAGTCCAAGTGTACTATGTTGGCAAAAAGAATGGATAGATGCAATTTTTAATTGGTAGGTTAGACTTTCATTGTCATTATCGACTTGATAAAAGTTAGTTTAATCGTTGTAAAATATCTTTTGAATGATACTCTTCCTTCAGGCTAATTGAAAAAGGGAAAGGGAAGAATCGCGTTGAATGGTAAAGTTAGAGTAGAATTGAAGACTGGCTCACTGTTGCAAAAAATGGCAATATTACCGGATAACATTAATGTCGATAGTGTACTGGATGAAATTGTACAGTCGATGAAGAATGTACATCTATTGGATAAAACGAAACAGTTAGTTTATCAATTAGATAGTAAATCGACCATCGATAAGATAATTGATCCTTTATCTGTGGCCACAAAAATCATTCAAATTGTTCAAAATCATTATCAGACGATTGGATTTGAATGGCTATATCCATTACTTCAGTTTGCTCGAGAGAACGTTATTTTTTCAAATTTGAATGACATCATTGGCCAAGAAAATCAACAACGAATCCTCTCTACAATTGGCTGTGTTGAAAATTTGAAAGAGAAAATGCTCAAATTAATTAAGGACTGGAATGAGACAGAAAGTTACAAAATGACGGATAATCTTCCACCCTATCCAATTTATGCTGAATTAGATATCCTATATCAACTCTTGCATGCTATATTAAATCAAGATCCAACGGGTCTTTTCCAAAAAATACATAATGTATACAATAAGTGCTTTGATATTATTGAATCTGTTTTGATTTATGATTGCCAACGATTAATTGCTTTGGTTCAGGAATTAAAAGCTTGGATAACTACCGATCTATCTTATGTAAGCCATTATATCTATTTAGATATTATGAATAAAATTATCGGCTGCAGCTATTGCAGTTTTAATCAAAGAGAATTTACCTATTCTGGTGGTCAAATTTATTACCTAGATGGCTCTGTTTTTGTCATGGAACCGTATTACTCGATCTGGAATGTTGTTCAGAAGACTACAAGTTGGAAATCATCCACTTTCCAATCCAATATTATTCTACAGAAAGGAATAACCGATACCATTAAAATATTTCAATCCATCAAATTACCCATTAAAATTAAAGACCAAATTAAAGTCGATTTAGCCAACATGATGAGTCAGTTGAGTCATCCCTATCTCGACTATTTAATATGGTATCATCGGCAGCCACTAGCAGAAATAGTTCACGATGATTTATTAGCCAAGCTAACACTACTGGAGTTATCCCCTAAATATTCAGGGATGGCAGTTCAATTATCTGAACTCGAATTCATTCCACTTTTAACTCAACTACCAACCATCATCAATTTACCTTCATCAAAAGAAACTTTAATACAACGCCATCATTACTTCAATCAAATCTATCACGAGATGGACGTGCAAGGTCATCATTCAATGGTCTTGTCTGGTCTAGCTGGGGTTGGGAAATCATCATTAGCTCTTCATTATGCTCGATCACATACAATCCATTACAATTGCATACATTGGTTTCATGCCGAGACAGAATTATCCTTGCAACATGATTTCATAAAATTAGCCAAGGCAATCCTGAGAAATAAACAACGATTCCATTTAGAAAAAAAACCCCAATTGGATTCCATTCGCGATTGTCTAGATCAATTTACGGAGAATTCTGAATTGCTACAGTCCGTTGGCGATAATCATATTATTATTGCATCACAATTAAAAACTTGTGATGAACAACGGATTGATCTGATCAATAAGCTTGTCCAGGCTACCTTGGATTTTATACTTGGCCACTATTGCTTTTTACTGATTTATGATAATGCTGACCAAGAAGAAATCGTCCGACGCTATATGCCTCAAAGACAAGGTCACGGTCTTGTACTGCTGACATCTCGGTATGCTAACTGGGGCGATGTGGAAAAGATTAACATTGATTTATTCCAACGCCAAGAATCCATTGATTATTTGCTACAACGAACCAATTCAGAGGATAAAGAATCTGCTGATTTAGTTGCCAATCGAATTTGTGATTTACCTTTAGCCTTGTCGCAAGCTGTCGCTTATATTCAACGTACTGGTATTTCACTAAGTGGATATCATGCACGATTAATGGCAGAAGAAAATGATATTGCTCAAGATAGTTACTCATCTGCATATTATAAAAAATATCAGCAAGTCGACTCTGGACAAATTAAATTAAGCCAACAACTGACGCCGTTGACAACATGGTCCTCTACCTTTTCTCAATTAGTTACTAATAATCCCTCTATTCAATCCATGTTTATGCTAATTGCTTATATTCAAGTAGACCAGTTAACAGATAACTTATTATTCGAATTTTGCCAACTACAAGATCCCAACACAAAAAGAGAAGATTATAACAATGCCATCTGTGGCTTAAATCATTATCATGTTTTACATGGCTGCCCAGAGGGTAGTTTACCTAGCTATAAAACGAATAAATTAATCCAAATGGCTATACGCAATCATATCTTAGAAATTGTTTCAACTCAGTTAGGACATTCATTAGGCGATTGGATATACGTCCAAGATATAATCTTATGCCGAATTTTAGTCTATTTTGTTGATAAGCTAAGTAATGATGAATGGATCGAATCCGATGACCAGACTGTTGGCCAAAGTTTAAACTTAATTTATCATGCTGATCAACTTCGGCAACATTTATTAAATAGCGAATTACTATCCCATCAACGCTTGATGTTAGAAGAAAAAATGACTAAAATGTACACGACAATCACCAATCCATTATCTCAACTGGAGATGAATATTATGGCCAAGATTGAAACTTTTAAAATGGCGCGTAAGTGCTTCTATTCGTGTTTGTGCATCCACATTTTTCGTTACTTTCAAAAATTTCGGTTGTAAATCATTTTATTTTCGCCTCTATACTCGTTGTTGATTCATGCCTCATGCATACTACCTTGGTGTTTTATTCCCCCCTCCATACTCATCATTGATTTATGCCCTATACATATTATCTTGACTTACCGGAAACCAACAGCAGAGTATTTAAATGTTTACTTTTAATACTGATTATTTTCAACATGATCGTAGTCGGGTTTTTTTTATCAGATCTTGCTACCTAGCATTCGTATAAGTAACATTTTACGAATAGTTTACGGCAGGATAATTAAATCAATTAGCATATTTACATATTGCATATCACAGAATGAGTAACAATTCCCGAGTTTATGTTCATTACAGTAGAAAATTTTCGCCATTCAAGTGCAGGTTTGAATAAGCCTTACATGATTAAAATTAATTACTTATCGCAGATTCACAAAATTACTTAAGCTTGCAATAAATGTGGCCTACTGTAGAGAGTTCCGTTTAGAATATATTTTTATGGCGAACTAACTATTTAAAGCTAATCAAGCAATAATTATGACCTACTGTGGAGAGTTTCGGATATGATATACGGTATATATAGTATTATGATGGACTAAACGTTTAAATGTAATTTTGTAATAATGATGACTTTCTTTAGACAATTCTGGTTATAACGTATGACATATAAATTATTACGGTAGATTAATCATTTAAAGCTAGTTTTGCAATAATTTTGGCTTACTATATCGAGAATTTCGGTTATATGCATAATGTACGATATATAGTATTATGGTAAACTTAACATTTAAATCTAATCTTGCAATAATTGTGACTTACAGTACAGTATACTTACAGCAGAGAATTCCCATAAAATATTCACTTTCGTTAGACCAGTGATCAGTTGTACTCTAATAATGTAATGATTGGTACTAAAAGAGTTATTGCTAATGTTAAAGGATGAATTGTTAACAATCATAACAAAATTATTTTAACCATAGTAAATTATAGAAGTGACGAAGATGAAGGCTACGATACTAAATTTGCTGATGATATTGATGTAGATCGAGGTCTGTAAAATTTATTCTTTAAATCTAATTTTTATTTTGTATTTAATCTAATAGCCATGTTCATTTGCTAGTTTTAGAAACAGATTTTGCTTTAAACAAAACTTAGTCTCACCTATCAGATTATTTCGATTTAATATACTAACATTATCTTTTAAAGTTACCGTAGCCATAAAGTACATTATGATTATTGTGATACTTTATATTCGCCTAATTGACGGCGTTATTAAACTAAATTCAAAACCTTACATTAGATATTATCTGCAGTAAGCGTATAAAGGATATTATCGTTTTAATTCATTCTTCAGATCGTGATTCATCCATGGAACAAGCGAATGTATCTTACGAGGACAGCCAAGTTTCCAACCATGTTTTGCGGTCTGTAGGAGGTGTTAGTGGTGTTGAAATTGGCGAAGAAATAAAATTATCCACAGCTGATGATATCCAAGAAAAAAGTGCCTTAAGTTTAAGCCCAGTTCAGCAAGATAGCGATTACTTTAATGACTCTGATGTGATTCAAGACAGCCCAGGGATAACTAATGAGAGCAATCCAAATCTTCAATTAGCAGCTCAAGACTTGACACATACTACCAATACAGCGGACAGCTCTACAATAAACGAAAGCGATCCAGAAAATTCTGCTTTAAATAAATTACACCTATCTGATGATCCCCTATTAATCTTAGAATCAGTTATAAAAGAAGCTGAAGTAGTGGAGGAGGAGATTACTATAACAAATGAGCCAAATGTTGAGATAAATGAAACAGAAGCCGTTGGCACAATCCCGGAGAAAAATCATGGCCAGAATCATTCCTCACCGATAAACACCTCTAGAAGTGATGATATAGCCAACGCAGAAGTAGCTGAAGATGCATTAGTAGGTTTTTATGAAGAAGATATCAGATCAAGTATTGAAGCTACGGCAGATATAAGCGAAGCCGCTCAAGACAATAATGCAACAACGAAAATGAATGAGAATGGAGATAATCTTTCCATCGCTAAGACCACTTCCACATCCACTACAGACCCTAGGCGAGTTTATAGCCAACCTAATGTTAATAATGTTGCTGCAGCTAAATTCTACTATGATCCTGCACCTAATGTAAAGAGGGATCGCAGTGTATCGGATCTCCGGTGTACAATTTTTCCAATAATGAAGCCAGGTAGAGTACTGTTTTAATTTGTAGGTTTTAATGCAGAGAATTTCATTTTTTATTGCTAATATTTTTACCTTTTCGATTCTTTCTTTATTCTACCGACGCTGATAAAAAACGATGATGACTATAGCTGCAACTGGATACCCACAAAAGTCGATTACTATTTTAGCTAATAAAACTAATTGCTTCAAGTTAAAAGAAGCTCCAGGTGTCCAACTTACAATAACACCATCTTGCTTTCAGATTGATACCAGTGCTACTATATCTGTATTTTATGCCGATCCACCTTATAATAAAGGCCTGAATAGCGGATGTATTCAAATGGCTCCTATAGTTCGAATAAAATGCGATGATATTACTGGGCAACAGTCAACACGATTCCCTTTTTCATTGCAAATTCCCGTGCCTCTTGCTGAAGAAATTTGCCTATATTTGTCAGTCAAGAAAATTAATGAATTACCTGTACAAATTTTGCATCGACGCCATGAGCCTGATAGTGAATGGGAATTACTGGATTCTAAATTTACCTACTTTGTTAATGATCATTCGTGCCCATGTATTAGTTTTAATATGCATTACTTTGCTGATGTAACATTTGTCTTGGACGATGTTTTATCTACAATGCAACAAATATCGCAGTATACATTTCCAAGTTTTCAGCAACACATACGATTATGGAGTTATGTCTCTTTGCCAAGAAAAGGGTCCACTCGGTCTATCATGAAGTTGATTATCGCTAAAACTGGGCTGGGACATATTAGTATTTTGGATGCTATTGAAAATAATCCCAATTTCATACCATTAGAGGCAACAGGATTAGATGATTTCGTCGTTCGCAATGGATCTTATCGCCTTCACTTTGTACCTATATCTTCAGCTTGTGGGCTAATAGAAGATTTTCCAGTTTATACTGCTTTCGATTGGAATAACAGAAATTACTTTGCATTTGACATTAAATGCCGTCTAAAAGATCCAGCATCTAATAATGGTAACTTGGGAAAATTATGTCTTTCCCAAGTCAGCGAGGAACGTACTGTTCACGAATGTAATCTGATCATGGTAAGGTCGACCAGTAGAACTCAACAGATTGCCATTTCTTAAAAATTTTTAAACTTTCATACTAGGAAAAGTACTGGTATAGCTCTAATATATTTCAATTTTTTTAGCCTCAAGAGGTTACTACTTCGCTGGAATTAATACAATCTCCACCGCCTGAAGTCGAAGGTTTGTCGTGATCTCGTAGTTAATCGGATATACATATGATATATTAATGGGACGTTTTCTGCAGATGATTATAGATCAAATTTATAAATTAAATTCTTTAATAATTTTTCCTTGCAGAAGTTGCAGGTGAAGATTTAAAGTCCCATTTGGAATTTATTGCCTCCCAAAATATTGACTTGGACAAGTTAGCAGCTAAATTAGATAATGCGGTTAGGCTTAGTGAAGCCGGTCGTAAACTTAAGACGAAGAGCGATAAAGTCAGAGTCCTCCTAAAGATTTGGAAAGAGAGTAATGAACCTAAAGCTAACCTAAACCAATTAACTAAGGCTCTAGGTGCTATGAACAAAGGAGATGTTGTCAAAAGAATCGGTAAGTTATAATTTAATTTTGTAGAGTCAGTATTACCGCCAATTGATTTTATCAATTGATCAAAACTCTTCAAATTAATCTGTAAGCCAACTTGCCTAAGTCTGTAATTTTTCTTTCCATAAATTATAATAGCTGAAACACAAGCCGATCTATTTGCTCGCCGTAAGAAAGCTAAAGAAACTATTGTGTAAGAAATGATTAAGTTACTTCTAAACACAAAATGGAGAACTGAAATAGTCAAGAGTGTAAATTTTATGTTAAAGAATATTTGATTAGATAATATTAGCTTTATCATAAATAATTATATTACCAGATCTGTATGAATTTAAAGAAAGATGATATTTTCAATTTTGTGATCATATGCTTGGCTATAATCTACCTAAATTGATCATGATTGCTTTCGATTAGCATGTTTTAGCTTCGTCAATCATCATGTATAATTTATTTCATTATACAGTACATTTCACATTTTAGAATTTAATACTTTAATATTATGCATCAAGGCATTCTTGTAAAGGTAAAATCTATTTTCTGATCCTACACTCAAAATAATTTGTAATTGATACTTAATAATCTGCGTACGTCATTGATCTCTTGAAACAGTCTATCAAATATGAAATTTTTAATGAAATACAAGGATTATATTTATAATTTTCTTCTTCGCATCGCATTTATTTCATTAAAATTGTTCAACGTGTTCATTTTCCCTCAAGTAACGAAATACTGAAATTAAGCAAATAAATTAAATTTTGCTATTAATTGCTATGATAATTGTAAAAATGTAAGTAGCCAGCAAAGTGTATGTTTTGAATCATTCTTTGTTAGCATCAATAGCTGGATAATGTTGATATTTGGCGTGAGATTTTAACCGATGACTTCAATTTTCGGCCTGATTTGGTAATTTATAAAGTGCATGTATGCAATTGTTTCACTGCTGCTACTGCAGCCATATTTTCGCAAATTCGTATATTTATAAATTGATAATAATAAACGATATTAAATAATACCGAAGTACTGCTCAGATTTATTTTCCACTAATTGAAAATTCTCATAAGACAGCAAATATCTCTTATACGAGCATTTCTTTATTGAAAACATTTATAATTTTCGATATTATAAACGCGATACAAATTATAAAGGATTAGTTAGTAAAATTATGCTATCAGCGGTATGTTTTCTAGGCTACACACTTTATAATTGAATTGTAGTCATAATGCAAAAACTACTATATATATCACGTCTAAAGCTCGATCCGGCTATTATGTATAATTACATTATAGCCGGGATTCAGGCTTTAGCCGAGACATATAGACGTATAATGTTATTAAATTATGAAAATGAACTCAAATATTTATCTTGAAGCCTAACCCTTAGTTACTAAAGGTTGCTAAAGTAAGAATTTTAGCAGCAATTTAGGATGCGCTGTTTTTTCTAGCAACAAAATTATAGATATTATTCATTGAATAGAAATATCAGGGGCGAAACCATCAGTAATTATAATCCAATTATCCTTATCAAGCCTAGAAAGCATACAATATACTATACAGTAGAAGTAACGCGCATGAATTCAATGTGTAATAAAGTTCCGTCTGTGGTAATAGGCAATTACAATCTTTACTTGCGATTAGTTATTACATACTAAGCTAATTTTTTTGGATATAAATTAATTATTAGTAACTGCAATACACATTTTTAATTAATATTTAAATAGACCTCGAACGTATTAGAAGTGATCTAGAAATTTTTTAATAATACTATTTATAATCTAGTAAAAGAAACTTGTTTTAGAAATAGTAGTATCGATATTTATAATTTTATTATTAACATACCACCGCTGCGAATGTATGCTTTACAACTTGATTCAAACCAAGTCGTTAGGTTAATATGTTCTTGACTAAAGTTCATGACATTTTAAATACTATTCATTTATACCTTGTTTAATAAAGAACGCTTATCATGATGCTAATTCTGTTATGCAATCACATCGAACGCTACTATAAATATAATTAGACAAGTAACGTTTTAACTGACATAGTATCAGGTTAATCTTTCTGAAAGCTCATCTTGAATATGAAACTGCCTAAATGTTATCGATAGCCATAGTCGGTAGATACAATACCACTATAAGTTCGGATCTATATAATTTAACTATGGACTATATATATCAGTCTAAAGCGGATTAGCTACGCTATTAGCATCTGAATGATCTACATTTTTCGTAACTGGATGATCTATACTATTAGAGTATGAGCGATCTGCATCTTTCGGAAGCAGGATATCCATGTTGTTAATCTATGAATGATTAGCATCGGTCGGAAGTGAATTATTTAGGCCATTAATATACGAACGAATTACTTATTTCGAAAGTGGATTATTCATGGAATTGGATGGATTATTTATGCTGTTTAGATAGGAATGATCTGCATCTTTCGGAAGCGGATTATTTATACTGTTAGTGTATAAATGATCTGTATATTTCGAAAACGGATTATCTTTGCTGTTAGCATATGAGTGATCGACATCTTTCGGAAGCGGATTATCCACGGAATTAGCCAATGAATCATACACATTATTTAGATATGGATTATTTGTGCCGTTTAGATAGGAAATGTCGACTGGAATCAACTGTAGTGATACAATAATATTCATATTATGTAGGCTAGCACTTGTAGAGTCTAGTCAAATGCAATGACTTATTTCAGGTATTACTCGGATGATCATTCAGTGCCAATGTCATATTTTCAATTTTTTTTATCTTCCTTAATAATTTACGTTATGAATGCATGATTTTATGTCTCAGAATTAGCTGCTGGATATAGTTCAGTCCAGGCTTGCAATAGCAGTGATCGCTGCTGATACCTTGGCTAACAATTCCTGACTTTTACATTGTCTCATCTCACTCAGGCGCATATAATTCGGTTCAGTTTTACATGAGTTGGAGTTGTCGGTGGTTTCCGATCCATTGGCTAGAGACTTCTTGCCTTTAGATTCTTTGACCATGTTTAGGTTAATAGAATTTAGTTCAAGGTTATAAGGGTTGATGCCGTTACGGATTACTGATGCTTTTTCTAAAAATTCCTGGCTTCTAGCTCTCTCACCAATAAGTGTTGTAGTTGATACTGTTGGAAATCTCTCATAAGCTGACAATTTCCTCGTTTTAAACGAATTTATGGATAAAGATAATAAACTTAATCATAAATCAACATTTATCATTTTATTATTTATTACAATCATAGGTAAGCATAGTTAATTAAGTTTACTTTTCTGTCAATTGCAATTTGTATACATAATAAATTTGCAAGAGCAATGAAACATCGTGTCAAGACAAGCGAGCAGAATTTTATAGATACCGATTCTGCTTTCATAATAAGTTATGAGTCCTTAATTAATTACATGGTTAGGGATGATTTAATCGACTATCTATTACAAATGCATGTATTACCTTGCCACGATTGTATTGCTACTGGGTAAAAATTAAATTAAATTTTCGGAAGTCCACAGTAAACTGTGAATTTTATGTTAGAAAATCAGTGCCACGTCAATTACTTCATGGATGACGATAATGACTTGGTTAATTTAAGCTTTCTTTTCTACTATGATTACATTCTAAGCAGTATGACATTTTGCAGGGCAAACTATGGTACTATAGCTGAAAAGTTGAGTACAAAATTGGAATACTTTCTAAACGCAGAAAGCTACAAATCTTAGATTTTGGTATTTAATTTACAAGTTGCAATACCTCAGCCTCTAATGAACTAATGTAGTGGTTTAAGCGCTGTTCTACGATTTTACTACTAATCTTAATGGCGACACTATCATATCATAGATTCACAGCCTGATATGAAACGGAAGTATATCGTTACAAAATCAATGCTCGCGATAAACTTTCTTCGATGACTATGAAATCACTACCGCTATCATCAGACCATTTAGACAATGATAGTATACATAAAATAAAATTTATTTAGCAAGGATTCACTTGCTTTGCATTTTTAAATCAATAAATTAATTTCAATGTCTTAATAATTCGATTGATTTTTAAATGTTATTACATTCTCATATGAAATAAAATACTTTTACTCCTGACTTTAAGTTTCTTACAACTACAACTCTGGCACGCATACTAACCCATTTACTTAGCAATGGAACAATTTCTGAACAAAGTGATTCTTGCAATAGTTGTGCATTGACTCTTGCCTATGAAATGGAGTCAATATTCTGCGGTAGTAATGATACTGCGCATCTCATAACTTAAACTACAGTCATGATTAGTTTTACATTATGACAACCATAACGTCTAAAAATTTCTATTTTTAGAAGTGGATGAGTATAAGCATACCATTTAATATTGGTCATGGCAATCCGGCAGCATTGCTACCTAAATTATTCTTGCATTTAAATACGGCAAGTCAATTCTATGGCTATTAAATGTAGCAAATCGTTCAGGATCAAGTATAAACTGTAGTAAAAAGTGTTTTTTATCGCTTTGATTCGCAATTCTTCAACTAGAAATTTAAGCCATGAAAATTGAGCAAATATATGAGACAAACAGTTGTAGGGCAACTCTGCATTCAATCTAAAAAATATCGTTTATCAATAGACCATTGCAATGAACGTGTAATAATTTCTTGTTATTACTTACATAATCCTATATTTGACTATCAGATACAGCCTTAACTGGCGAATCCCAGTCTTATACTAGAAACAGTAAAATTGTGCCGTTTATCCTATCAGCCATATACTGTACGACCGCAATTAGCTGACATCATTACAACTACCTGTAAGGGAAGAATTCTTATTTCTTTCCTTCATAATAAAGATTAAAAAATAGTTAAAATTAAGTGAACAATCGACTATATCAGCAATGTGATTCAACTTATTTATAACGCAAGATCAAATATTTTTATATAATGTATTACTCAGGAATTAAGAATTACATTAGTGCATTACTTTAAAACAGAACTTGAATTGTGTTTTGTATTACTATCTAGAATTGTACTAGCAACCATGTTGAAAGTTGTTACTGCTCTCAATTAGCATTGAAGATAGGAAATGAAACAAATAGTTAAATTTATTGTAAAACTAGCTACGTACTACTATGCTCTTGATTTAACGAAAAATCGTGGCTTACATACGTACGCCGTTCATAATCATAACGTAATATTTACAAGTTGCAACGTAAGTTAGTATTAGATTGTAAACAATTAGCCATGTTTATTATAGCGTACAGTAGTTAAACCTTCCACATTTATCATAAGCTTTACTTAGTAACTCATAGCTATAGGCTGTAATTTAAGATTTTACATTAGAATACGAATGACTATATACGCATAGGAAGGTGTGGAGTCAATATTGCCGCTAGAGGCAAAAATAAATATTTAGCCCGTATAATACGAAATATTTTGTTCATGGCACTTTGGTAGGCAAAAATCATGTTTACATAGACATAGCAGCAATTATCAAATTGGATTATAAGTGATCCTCTGTAAAATGTTGTTAGTAGTAATAATCTAAATAGTTGCTAAATAAGGCAGAATGTCGCGGTGCGGATTGAGACAGCAACCGATACGAAGAGCATATAAACAAGCAGCGTTAGATTGTTGCGTAGTTGAATCTAAAACTTGTTCTAGTAGTTTTACTCGGCTACAATAGAACTGTTAGTGGATTATCTTTGCATATATATCGAACATACTTTTAATTTTCTACGAATTTTGGAATTTCGTAATTGACTATATTACAAATACATGTCTACATCTTCGTAGCTTTGACAGCTACTGTTTACAGAAATATAGTCAAAATATACAAATTCAAGAAATCAAACGAAGAAATAGCCTGATATTTATTATCTTTACTGCTTAAGTGAGACTATTATATCTAGCATTATAATTTAATATGCAGTTGCATTTAGAGATGTTGCACATTACTTCAGTTGCAAGCGGTCATAAGGTACGTCTTGTTTACAGAATGGAAGGAAAGATATCTCGAAACCACGTTATTCTGTATTCGAGTGATTATATTGACGCATACTAGATTATTACGTTTCTTAAATATCCTCAGAGTATATTGGAAATGCTGTTTAAGTCCTATAATTTAAATGGAAGTAAGTACTAATAGCTTATGATGTGCAATGTTGATTAATTGATCCAAGGTATTTCGATGTTAGCATATCTTATCGTGTTAAGTACGAGTAAGTATTTTGAACGTATTAGCGTACACTGGTTGTCTAGCTTTTACATAATATCGAATCACAATTATCGATTTTTTTAGATATAAGATTAAGTGTTACCAAGCTATTAATCTACTGATGAGTGTAGATCAAATAATAACGATAGCAGTATGTATAGGACATTTGATATGGTTTTTAATAATACAATATATATAGAATTCATGTATTCTGCAAAATAATTGATTTTGCAAATTGGCGGTAACTTTAAATACAACAATTGCGAAATTAAGATTGTATACTAGAAGCTTAATTAATAATTTTGAATCTCGTATTCGTTAATTTACGTAAATTAGAAAAGGATATTGGTATGCAGATTTACAAGGGGCTGTTATAGTGAATTAATCTAGTAACTTTACTAACATACTGATAATCATTTAAACTTTAATTGCACTACAGTCTTGGTAATCAAACTAAAATACAACCTGAAATAATATACAAAACCAAATAAAATTTTTTCAGAATAGAAAATTTCAAGTAAGGCATAGAATGCCATCATAAATGGGCTCATACGTAACTGGTTCGGGATGATTTGAAGTAGAATCTGAATTTCTTTCTATATCTGATGAGATCGAATCAGGTAATGGAGGCAAATCTCTCTCAATCATATGTGATGCAGAACTAGTAACATTTTCATTTGAGCTCTTTGTATTTCTGTAATTTTTCTTTAAAAATAAGGCAATGAGGATAATAATTAAGAGGATAAGAGTAAGTGAACTGATGTATTGCCATTCTAACGTTGCTTGAGAAGCATATCTAGGCGTACCAGTAGTAGGACATCGAGATTCAGGTAGAAGAGTACTTTCGTTAGTAGTTAGACCTGCTGATTCAGATGAAAAAGTAATAAATGTTTAGTGCTGCTATAATTATAGAAATAGCAGGTATAAATACTAATGCTAAAATAAAATTATAATTTATGGCTCATTTAGCTAATGCACGCCTGTAGATTATCTATAGCATTATTATGCACATTAGTTTCTCTGGCAGTTGCTAGTTAATTGGTTCTGTTTTTAAATAACTGGCGCTTATATACTTTCACAAAGAACGCAAAACTTTATCACGATGTTCTCAATGCACTAGGTATATTAGAGCTGTGATCTAAGTTGTAATATTTCACTTTGTGATCTCGTATGCATTTATATTTAGAGTTGCAGAATGATTGCCTAAATTTACCTTACAATTATAATAATTTGGTTTTACAATACTATACACATATTCTGTTCACTAATTAATTAATATTAGATTTAGTAATCTATTGAGCGCTTTTCAATTAAATTCCTTTATCATTTTTGGATTTTGTTGTGTATTTGTAATAGTTACAGTGTAATATTGTTATTATTTAATAGATGTACAATTAGAACTTATATTTGCTAAATTAGATTTATTTTTGCTACGAAGCAGTACAAATAATTTGTACACATTTTTGTACTTTGTAATATAACAACTAATTATTTTTACAAATTGATAATAAAAATTTTATGAAAGTCCGTTAATAGCGACGAAATTGTTGTCTTCCTAAAATTTTCCTTGCTATCCTAACATGATGAAGAAAGTTTGATAATGCTTCGTATGCATTATACAAATTTCATACCTCCCTCATCGTCTGTATTACTTAGCGTGGCTAAATAAAATTCTTGGATTGTTGTATTGTCGCTGGTGATATTAGCTTTAGCACTGTTCGCGTACCAAAAATAGACTGTATTAAATCGAAGTTGCTTGAAGCTTATTCTCATAGTAGTACTTTTAACGTGAAACTTTCGTATAGAAGTTCGAAAGAAAATAATTGTCACACATTAGTTAGTATCTTGCCCTATAAAAATATATCCATTTTAACAATGCCGCAGTGTAATGAATAATAGCATTAACTCTGTATGCATACATCATTTTGAAGAAAAAATTTTAGAAAGTAGGGTTAAAAACATCTAAATTTTATTATATTAGAAACTAGTAACGATCTATTCAGCAAAACATTAGCTATTTGTACTGTATACATTCTTATTTAATGCTAATTCTAATTCAAAAAATCTTGAAAGTAAGCAATGCTGTTGATCTCTGCAAGTTTGCTTTTACCTTTCTAGGTGTCGTTGTTGAATCATTTTCCAAAAGGTAGAAATTGTACCAGTAGCTGATTGTACAAGTAGCCTGTTTGAAGCAAATAAAATCTACGACTTCCTGATTATATCTAATGATAGTAGTACAATTTTTAAGCGGTTGTGGTTTAACTAGAAGAGTGAATAGCAAAGATATAGTATTAAAGAGTGTCATTAGTAGTTGGTAACAGCTAATTTGTTTCGGACAAAATTCATGGATATAGCAGTTGTTGGATTGGCGAAAGTGATATTTTTAATATTTGTAGTTCACAGTTTAACCGTAATTGAAAAAAGAATTGATTTTAATAACTTTTAGTGGAATTATGATGAAATATGCGGTAATAGACTATGTTAAATTTTTAGCTTTATGTTTTAAATTTACTAAAATATTTTAATAGATTTTAGTGGTATTACTGTAGTGTGTTTAATTTTCACTGTAGTCTTGACATATTATTAAAATATGGATATTTTGTATTATACCAAATATAGATAGCTTTACAGTCTATTTCAAATACAGTACACTCAAACATAGCTCGTTATGTTAAGTTATTCGCAGCATTTATGGCCTTCGCTGTTTCCTTCAATTATTCACTATTACTGTGTCTGCTTATGGTAAATTTCATATTTAATTCTACAATCCTGCTCTCTGCGTGTGTTCTTTCTCTTAATCTATAAATACTGGTGATTTCGGTCTCAAATTTATTAGTTGCATTTGTTAGTGTCTGTATCTGCACACATTACTTCACGACAGCTTACAGTACATGACTGATCTACCAATAACTACCACAATGCAGCGTTATTATTTTCTACAATAAATATTCCTTTTTCTAGTAAATACTTCGTGTATTTATTGTGAAATGTCTAAAGTTTCCACATCAACAGACTCTTCGAACCCTCCATCACAATTACAGTAATCAATGAACTTATTAACATCTAGGAATCCAAAACTCTCCTACGTGCGATGAAAATATAAAGGATAATACTATTATATGGTGTAAACTGAGTATGCTTCATTGTATCTAAAAATTGTTGAATCTGTTTAGGTGTACTTGTTTCTATATCTGATAAACTGATATTGTGATAATCAATATGGTAATAAATTCATAAAATGCTTAATCTATTTTAAGAGATTTATAGATATTTCACAAATCTACTTACATGAAATATTCGAAGACTTGTGACTGCAGCGAATTAGCGATGGTGATTTGGCTTGTTTATGATAATGAAATGAAGTTATGATTGTATAAGTTATATTAAATCCTAACCATTTTGGCAGTAGTTGTAGCGAGCAATTGGTTTGCCTAGTGATATTGCAAATAAATTTGCTGACTAAAGTAAAGCCTGGAGTGTGAACAAGATACCGAATTTGATATGCAACGGACTTTATGTAAGTTCTATCGATTTTTGGTGGGTGCCAATTAATCGACAAGCGGCTGCATGCAATGGTAGCGGTTATATTGGTTACTGTAGATGATGTTCCTACAATAAAGAGGAATTGCAAAACAAAGTTATTAAATATTTTCGTATTGGGTGTCACAGATAGTTTTATGAGATGAATGGATGTTTTACTTTCGATAGGGCATTGATTATTATCATTCATAGTTATGGCAGGCGTATTATTGCTAACAGATGGACCTGCATACAGAAAATATAGAACTTTATTTCGATCGTTACTTGAGAAACTTAAATATGGAGTATACTTCAATTTTACTCTCGATTTATATGCAACGAATTTAAATCAACAGCATACATAAAAATTATTTAAATCATCTATCTGTTTGTAATAATTTGGAATAGATAAAAAATTGACTTTCTAACGTGTAGTTTTGGTAAATTATTCTTACCTGTAGGGCTAATCGAATTAGTGGTATGGACAATATTTGAACTTGTTACAGTAGTTGTATTAACAATAGATGGCGTTATATCTTGGGATGACGTTGTGGCTGCTGTTAATGCAGTTATACCAGCATTTTTTATTTCAAAACTAAAGATGCTGCTATTACTACTTAGTTCGCCGTATATTTCACTCTGAATGTACCAAATAAACGTCCCATAGCAATCCTTGGAGCACCCAATTTCCGCAAAAGTTAACTCCTTCATTATTTCTTTCTTCACTTTATACTATTAAAATATTTTGGCATATCTTTTAAATTCGGATAAATAATGTCTTTAGGAAATTTATAGTACTACAGTGGATTGTATTTCTACAAGAGAAAGCTTAAGGTCGATTTATGTCAGTTATAACCGTTATAAATTAACATAATTTTTATTCCCGCAGCTACTGAAAGCCACAATTCATATTCCGCTCTGCTTATTATATATTTGAAGAGATACTTTCAAAATGGATGTCGATATTACTGTGATTAATCTTTCTCTGCTATAAAAATATAGTTACCTGTCTATATTGATCGCTGGAAAATTTTTCGTTAATGTGAAATATATATTGATGTTCCACTCCATCAAAGCAAGTGTCATGTTCTTCGCACCACAATAACAACTTTTGTTTATTGTAGATGATGTCGGTATGGCAATTCCTTGGAGCTTTTGGTGTAACTAAGTAACAAATCATCAAAACAGATTAAATTAGATTCATTAATAGAGTAAGATAATGCAGCACATTTATTGTTCATTTTACGTTAATTACAATTAGATATGTTATTAAAAATTCTCAAGATTTATTAGCATTTCTTGCATATACGCGTATGCTTTATAGAGTTTATTAAATGTATGGAATATTCAAAAATTTAAACTGCTACCATAAATCACGTTGTTTAAAATTTTCTATTTAGTAACTGGTTGTATGCAGATAATTGAATTTCTGTTAGAGCCTTAGAAATTCATGTAATATTAGGATTAGGGTTTTTACACTATATCATATTAATTGTATTATTAATGTAAGAAACATACTATTAGTATCGGAGAAAAAATTTAATGATCATTATGTTGTCATTCGAGAACAAAAATAATGGCTCGGAAGATTCCATTTATAAGATTGCAATGCCACTTCTACAGCTTTAATTTCTATCCGGTAAGTAATTGAAATTTACTGCATATTTGACTATCAATTAAATCTTACATTTCATAGCTGAAAATAATATATAAACTTCGCTGATTGAATTAAGCTTGTTGTTAGCAAGAGCCTCAATCTTGAACTTGAATGTTGCATCATTCCATTTTCGATTGATTGGAATAGTGCAAGCATAAGTAGTTGACCGATTACCATAATTACAGGCAGTACTCCACTTGGGATCGCCTTTACTGGATCTGCTTATTATTACATATTGAATCCAGTAATGAATTAAAAATGAGCAATACCGCTGATTGGAAGGTGGGTACCAAGTAACTTGAACATGATTACAGATAGTTCTAGCTCGAAGTTGAGTAACTGGTTCTAATAAATAAATCAAAGCTTTACTTTTTTTATCAGCTGAGGTGAATTAAATTTGTTAGATGATAAACTGCTACATATATTTCATTCGATACGGTTACCTAACATTTTACATTTGCTGTTTTTGTTCAGATTTAAACTTGTTCCTACAAAAATGATGAAAATTGTAATTTATAATGCTTACTGCTATAATGAACTAGAAATTATTTCTGTGATTGCAATGCACTAATTATTTCCTTCTCTATCTTATCAGATTTTGTCAAGAAAACTAAGTACAATGTAATAGCTGTTGTTCTACTACCTATAGCAGGTGCGTAGCGCTTATGTTATGTATAATAGATTTACGAGTATAAAGCTAAATAATACTGTAAAATTCCGATTAGAAAACTTATTAAACTCCTTGTAATAATTCAAACTAGTATCCAATTAATATGTAAGCATCCTGATATCTATAAAATCTGACGTATTGTGTTACTTTTCTACTATTTATCCTATGGCCATTAAACTGTAGCACATGATTCCATGCCCACTGCTTCAAGGTTTAATAACGAACAATATGAATGTTTGTAAATTTTGCAAGTTTCATCATTAATGTTCAAAGTAAGGAAATAAGTAAGTTTTACGATGAGTTACGATGCACATTGTGATTGTGCAGTAATTAGTATTAGTGATGGTATTGAGAATCATTTTTAGAATCTGAAACCTTAATAGAGTCATTTGTTGTATAAATTTATCAGCTATCTAATCTACTTTTTTAAAGTGCTAATCAACAAAAAATTCGATCTTGTAAAGAGTATAGCATGAATAGTATAAGTGCACAGTTTCATCATCAGCAATCATGAAATTGGCTTATAAGCATAGTGCACTATTCTACTTCTTAATGCTAGCGTTCTTCAATTACTACTGTAATTATCTGAAACTATGACAATCCTAATAGCCACTTTTTACTGTTGTAATAAGAGGAGGGATGCAAATTCTTCTCCGTCAAGCATACTATCTATAAGCAATGCTTTTAAAAAGCAAAAATACGCTAATGTAACCTCAGAATTGAAGAGTTTGCCACTGTATAAAGCTGACTAAACTATCTAAGGTATTTATCGCTTACTATCAAACCCTGTTTCTTGTAATATATGCTAATGCCACTTAGAGACAAAATTGACCTGTTCAAATGCTTTATCGCCGGTTTCTATAATTTCTTTACATATTGATATACTTTACATTGTACAGTGTACAGGCTTCGGCAATAATTAAGTTTCTGTACGATAGGAATTTCCGACTGAATTCGACTCGCAATTAAAAGAGGAAATGTCACAAAACAGCTTTGCAACAAGATAACGTAATGTACGATCAATAAGTCAATTCCTTGAACCACGTATCAAGGAACGATATCTTCACTATCACAAACACTCTTGCTCTACTAGCAGACTACATAAAGACTTAAACGCCTCGTATTTTACGTTAAACACTAAGTATAAGAATCCCGTTTATTACACGACATACTGCATTTATATACTCTTCTCAGTAGTTCATGAGTCATAGTTAATACAATTAACATTGGAATCGTTTACTGAATTAGATATTAATTTTAGCTACTGCTCCCTTAATGCAAACAACAATGTTTACGAACATAGACATGTAATGACTAATACAGAATAGTCAGATTACGATATGTCCGTTCACGGAAAATTTCAATGATAATTTACAATCTACCATAAGTAAATTACAATCACAATGATTCGAACTGTAAGTAGATGATTTGCATTTCCTATTATAACTATTAATTTCAGTTCGTGTATATGTGTCACTGTGATAAAAAGTCAGTACTATATTAAAACACAGTATATCCTAATTAGAAGTTAACTAAATAAGGATAGTCTAACAGGATTATCCTAACATAGTTATTTCTACTCTAATACAGTATATAACACTATCACAGGAAAACTTTTAGTTTAGTGCACCGATAATTTCTTAAAAAGGAGTATATATGAAAATTGGCATTGATATAACGCCTATGGATAGTATCTATTTTAATTATAATAATATAGAAGTCACTTTTATAAATACTTCGGTAATAAGCAAAAGATACAGTATTTTGGACTCTATGAAAGTAGTTTCTGACTATTATTAAGTACTTGCATTAGTCATCTTCTCATGCTTGCGTATATTTTTTCTCCGTTTTTGACTATCAATTTGCTCATTTTAACTGTATTTATTTGTATGTTTTCATGAGCATTATAATTAAGTTTCAATAGTAGTACTGAAGTCATGGCACAAAATATATAAGATTACTAATGACTTCAACATTGCTTTATCTATTACATAAAACCTGACGTCATTTTCTCACTCATGGATATAAAGTTAGAGCTTTTATAACGACATAGTAAAGCGAATGAGTCTTTACTAGAAATAAAATAATAGATTCGAAAAGATATCGAAATAGAAATTATGACAAACGTTTAATCAGCAAAATATTTCTCCAGAATCTAATAGGTTTCCAGCCCTTTTTTCTAGCTATGTTCAAAGATTATTACTTTAAATTATACTGATATAATATTTTAATTTATAATCAGTTTATATTAATTCACGACTTTACCTCGGGTTAAACCAAGAACTAGAAAAATGATGAGCCCGAATGGTTTACTGTCTGTCGCCATCACGTAATGATTAGTGAAATTTTCTGTGTCAAGGACTTAATCGATCTGCGGAACAATTTTTACTCGGAAAAAATACAAATCTTTTCTAAAATAAGTTTAAGAACTACTAATAAGCAAGCATTATCGGCGTTTATTAATATTATTATAGGAATATAAGTAAAATAAAAATATAAAGTGGGTAATTATATTTGCATGCAGACACGCCCAGTCGAATTTAGTTAAATATAACAGCCGCTCGCGTAGTTGTCAAAGTTTCTTGATTTTCTAGTACCTTCTGAGAACGGGCATAAAACGCTTGACTATCGTATCTTGAATATATGTTAACTACAAAACAACTTTTGTTGCAGTGAATGTTGGTAAGGGTAACTTATGTCTCATATTTCCATGAAAGTGCATCATAAAGGCGTACAACATTAATCTACTTTAATTATACAAGGCTAAGGAAAGATTTAACAGATTGATGAGCACATCAAATTGTTGGCGATTATGCTATAATTAAACGAAATACCGCGGTAAATTCAATGTGCAAATCTTACGTGCAGTAATTAACGGTTTAATTAAATTGTAAGACTGAGATTGAATTTAGAGTGCATTTATTAAAATGTTTAGTGACGAAGGCGGTAGTAAACGTATTTAAAAACTGTTACACCTGTGCGTATACGAAGTAACTCTTATTCAGTAAATAGTAACCGAAATTGTTTATTTTGATCATTCCGTATAAGGCTTGGGAGAAATAAAATTAAGGGTAAGAAATTCAAAGTAAACAAAACAGCACGGTAAAATCTTGTTATTTCGCGAAGTCATATTCAAAATAGAAGATCTATTTAACAATTGGCCGTATCGTAGAGCACATTAAGTGGCATCTGGTAAATATGAAGACAGATTAATAGCAGAAATCCTTTCAGTTCTCGGATTTATACCATGTATTGGTCGGCAAATTGTTAATCTTTTCAACTACAAGTGAAGGATTTAGCATATCTTGGCGATTTTGCAGCCAAGAGAGTACAGACGTTGTAGAATAGGCTTCTAATGAATCAGATCTTCCATTAAATAATATTAAACGGTAACAGCCGTAATCAGTACGTGATTACAATCAGATTTATGCTACGTTAGTTCTATTTCAGTTTCAGTATATAGGTTAGATGCTAAGCACTATGATTGTAATTAATCTCTTTTGATAACTTAAATTCTAGTAATAGCGAGTGTTTTAATACTATATTAATCGCAGAATAAAAGCAACCTTTTCTGCTTTAATCGGAAACTTACGAGAGCTAATCTTTGACAATAAGGCTCCTGGAAGGATATAAATTATAATTTGATGTATACTTCATATTAAATGAGAATCAGTATCGATTTAGTGGAGAATTCTGGCAAATAACTACATCACTAGGACCATCATATCAAAATTTATGCTAATTAGATTCTACAATTTCTTTAAGCTACATAACTATCATCTCCTACTTAATGGATAGTATGAAATACCCTGGGATAGTGTTTTATATCGTTGTGATTTATCGTGTAATATTTAGCCACTATACTGACTAACATTTTAGAGGTAGCCATTGAGCCTTTTAATTTGGAACTTAGTGTTTTGATAGACGTTAACAATTTTGTATGACATATCCTATTTACTTGTTACGTCTATTAACAGTTGAAACTAATGATAGTAAATGATAATTTTCTAATATTTTTTTCCGTACTCTATTTAGATTTCATGTTAATTACTCTGTAACGGAAGTTTACAACATTGAAGATTGTTATCCCGTAATCTTATGCTAATCTGCTTGAAATGGTGAATCAAGTAGTACAGTACTTTATGTATGACTGCGTTTTTATCATGAAATCTATATTTTAGTTTCATAAACTGTAAAATTTAAAACAGGAAAAAGGAAAATTAGGAATGACATGCTTTATATTATGGGGATAGACATTACTAGCGATTTCATGTAATTAATGTTTCAAAATTAAAGAGATAAGATTTTCGTAAACAAATTTAAGCTAAATTATACAGTATTATCCACAGATAAATTTTCGAATGTATTGCATTACTTGCATTTATATAGTCATGAATTTGTAATTATATATCTTAAAAGTACTACATCAAGAATATTGATTGCACTCTATTTGTATAAATTTGTTGGTCTATTAAATTACCGTACTAAGAGCCTTCCGTCTTCACTTTGACAAACTGTTTTGTTGTTTACATTAATCTTAGTCTACTATACGAATACGACTTGAGCTATTCCTTGCATAGTCCCATAACCTTAAAACTTCACTCTATTGTATGAATTGGCTTATCCATTAAATTATCAAGAACTTTCTATCTTTAGTTTGATAAGCTGCCTAGTTGTGTGCAACAATCCTGGTCTTCTTTACGAACACAACTTGAATTATTTCTTGCATAGTCTCGTAACTTTAATTCTAGGCCAATTTGGTGACCACTTTATCGAATTATAACTTATTTTCGTTAATGAAATCTAGTTCTTCTCTTAAGTATCAGTTATTCGTTTAAACCTAGCATAAATTGAAGATAACCGATGTGTGATATATCGGTATGCGTGTGATTCTTCGCCTGAAGTATATTTTAGATGGTATGTATGGGCCCAGTTAGAATGGAAATTTGATATGCTTCATCTAGTTTAGATATATAAAAGTGCTATAGTGTTAAATTATTACAAAAAAATTAGTAATATTTAGTTACACAACGACGTTAAAAGTTATGATATAGTTTATAATTTAGATGTTTTAAGCTTTGATACAGTAGTGCTTGTTTGGTACTGTAAATTAGCATGTGCTTATGATAGATTAATAGGGATGATAGATTGTATGTTATAGCATAAATTATTTACGTGAATGGGTATAATCTAATCTATTTGCCTTGTATTAATCATCGAATATGTATATTTTTAAATTTTAACGTATCAATTTTTGCTATTTAGTTATAAAACTATTCACGGATTTAAAACACTATTGATACAAATGATAACTTCTAGCGACTGCAAAAATTTCTATAAACTCGTCATATTGTCTAACAAAGTTAGTTTTTAAGTTTATTATTTAATATAAAGTTCAAGGTGTACCAATCACCGTGAATTTATAGAATCAGGATCAAGGATTTTCAGGGTTTCTTAGACAGATTTACTTCCTAATACGTTGTTTAAGGACCAGATTTATGGATTTAGTCTTCTCATAATTTTATTATTTATCTTATTACATAAATGGTTACGTTACAGCATGAACTCTAGCATACTTTGGATTGATTCACGATTTTAGTTTGTGGTAAGTTGTAGCGTATGTAGATTTTACTATAACTGTAATATGTTCATTTATATAGACATTTGCTTTGCGCTTAAACAAAGAATTCTTTACAGTTTTTTGCACCATATTCAAAATAAGCTTATAGTATTTAGTTATTAACAGTACTTACAGCCTTCCCAATTTTCGAAAATCATTTACTATTACATAGTCTGTAATGGTGTACGTTGTATCTAATTCCACAATCCTGTTCTCTGCATGTGTTCTATCACAAAAGCTATAAATACCGCCGGTTTCTATCTCAGACATCATTAGTTGTCCTAGTCATAGTATATGTACTATCACACGTTACTCATGGCAGCTTACACAGATCTAAAGTAACTACCTCATTGAATCTCAGCTACTGTCTTCAATAAAGCATTCTCTTTTATCTAAACCTCCTGTACAGCAATGTTTTTTTCGTATAAGATATTCTAATAAAAGTATAAATGAAACTTATTGCTATCTATGCTGTACAATCATTTCTACACATACAGTCACCTCAAAGAGAGTAGGAGTTGATAATTTGTTTTATAATAAATGTAACTATGAGTTTAATTTTCTGCCCCGTGCAGATTGAGAACCGTACAAACCTTCAATAATATTTTTAGTGATAACTCAGGATAATAATATGCAACATATAAAGCCTTTTTGTATTATAAATTTGCAATATTCTTAGGCTCTACGATTGCATATCGATTAAATTTAAATTAATGCAACTATTTTAGCCGTTATCGCTCGCTATGATTCTTTGCAAGAACACAAACAGAGGAATTTAAGGAATTTAGTACAAGATCCATTAGTAAAATTGACTTGTTATTTAGCCTGAATAAGCATTTACAGCTGAAAATGTCGAATTGATCGTTTATTACGACCATAACTACTAAAGAAACCCACGCATAACGCTTTATCTAACCTAGTAAGCATTACCATTGTTACGGAAATATTGTAAAAGACTAACAGAGTCAGTTTACAGGAAAATCGGTTTTACAACGACTACTTCTAGTAGTTCCAAAATTTAATATCATGAAATAGCAACAAGTAGCCGAAAAGTCAATTTTAACACATAGAAACTGCACTGGTAATACAAATACTCAATCAAAATATAGTTTCAGAAAATTTTTGTAATACGCCTCAAGAATACATTTGCATAAATTTCTGCAATTCTTGCTTGGATCGTATGTATTAAGTACTATTTTTTCGAACATTAAAAATACTCTAAAGTGTAATGGTGACCAATAATCGTCGATCATGATATGACAAAATAAAATGCTCATCATTACAATTGCATTAATTATCAGGCATAAGCTATTTATAAAACATTAATGCAACTATAGGTGTCCAGTAAAATTTAATTTCGATAGAGTAACTGTCTAGCACTTCACTCGTATATATCTGGCACTCATTAAATCTTGAATAGAATCATTTCAATAATATTACACTTTTATAGTCCTGCTAAATAAATTCTCAGAATCAATATTCGCAAATAAGTGGTTCCTACTTATTTCTAGCTCAGCGAAGAGTATCTAACACCTAATTGTTTGTGAAACCTAACTCTAATTAGCTATGGAGTATTTATCGTGGAGTAGTACTGATATCATGCAATCGTCGCTCAACAAATTAACGAAAAGTTCCAATATCCAATGATAAACTATAGGATCCTGCTAAGATGTCATCGACAGCAAAATAATTTGCAAATCCAATTA